CCAGTGAGGGGCTGGAGTGTGGCTCAGTGGTAGAGCCCCTGCCTAGACTTCCCCAGTGAGGAGTTGGGAGTGTGGCTCAGTGGTACAGCACCTGTCTAGAATCCCCCAGTGAGGAGCTGGGAGTGTGGCTCAGTGGTAGAGCCCCTGCCTAGAATCCCCCAGTGAGGCATAGCTAAGCAGTAAAATGCTTAGCCTGAGAAAGGCTGAGAACTTGACTCAAAAAATAGAACTTTGGGGCTGGAGAGATGGCTCAGAGGAAAAGAGCAGGTCCTGAGTTCAATCCCCAGCAACCACATGGTGGCTCACAACCATCTGTAAAGAGATCTTGTGCCATCTATCTTCTAGCGTACAGGTGTGCATGCAGATAAAACATTGTATACATAATAAATAAATAAATCTTAAAAAAAAAAAAAAAGTCGAACTTTGTCATACAGAATGACCTGGGCTGAAAAAAATGAGAAAAAAAACACCAACAGAGGTTATGTGTTTGGCTGCTGGAGCTGTTAAAAAAATAAAATTTTTTTATTATTATTTAAAAAAATTTTTTTAACAACCTTTCTTTTTTTCTTTTTTTTAGGATTTATTTATTATTTATACAACATTCTGCCTGCATACCAGATCTTACCATAGATGGTTATGAGCCACCATGTGGGTGCTGGGAATTGAACTCTGGACCTTTGGAAGAGCAGCCAGTGCTCTTAACCTCTGAGCCATCTCTCCAGCCCCTATTTAAAACTTTTTAAAAAATGGAATTCTCTTCTGGAGTGTGCTTTGGCCAAATGGTGCCAGCCAGGAGCTAACTGCTGTCACACGTTAAACCGTGAATATGCTGGCATCCCCGAGATGTCCCCAACAGACACAGCAGAGCCACAAAGATGCAGGCGGGGCGTCACTGAGACCCTCTGCCCCCATCCTCCCATGAGCCTGACTCATCTGCTGGACCCTTCGAAAGCACACAGGGGGGCGAGCACGGGCCAGGCAGAGGGAACGTGGGAGGCCAGTGGAGAGCACAAGTGAGGACACACGGGTTTGGCTTCCAGCGCTGGCTGGGAACGTCCACCCCTGCTCAGGCCTGCCCTCCTCCTGGAGCCACTCATGGTGGCTTCTCGCCGGCTCTGCTCCTGGGCTGGGCCACGCAGGTGCCTGCCACCAACAGCAGCCAGACTGTAGGTTCTGAGGAAGAACACATGGAGGACGAGGGAGGGGCGCAGAGTGGAATCCATTACCTTTCCTCCTTCTCAAGTTTCCGTCTCTTGAAATGGCCACTGAGGACCAAGAGTTTGGACTGTGGTAATGAGGCGCCTGGGGACAGTTTTATTGCTTATTTAATGTTTAACCTTTACTATAAGGCACCTCAAACTCTTTAAAAAATTTTTTTTCTTTATTTTTATGTGTATGGGTGTTCTGCCTCTGTGTACATCTTGTGCACGACTCGCATGCAGTGCCTGTGGCGGCCAGAAGAGGGCATCAGCTCCCCTGGGACTGGAGTTGTAGACAGTTAAAGCCAGGTGGCACAAACCAAAGCAGATCTTCTGCAAGAGCAGGCAGCGTGCTGCTTCACCACCGAGCCATCTCTCCAGCCCCAGATCCTTTGTGTGTGTGTGTGTGTGTGTGCGCGTGTGTACACACACACATTATACATATATACGTCTTTACAAAATTATTCTTTACTTTTTTTCTATTTCAAGACAGCATCTTGCTAGGTAGCCCAGGCTGGTCTCAAACTCTGAATCCTCTGCCTCAGCCATTCAAGCAGAGAATTACACTTAGGTGTCACCATGCCTGACTGGACACAAATTTCCTTTCTTCCTTTCCTTTTCCCTTTTCCTGTCTGTCTCTCTTAGTACCAACTACTCAAAATTTGCTGCTCTAGAAGAAAACAGCTTCTGAAGAGAGAGCTAGCAAGTGAGGGGACAGTCCTCAAGCCCCGGGGGCCTGCGCCTGGGACCGTGGCAGGCCTCCCCTCTCTGGGGCTTTTCGGGACACTCCCTCGCTTCTCCACACTCCACGGAGACGCTCACCTTCTCCTTCTTTCTTCTGTGCTCCTTCCTACTCTTGTGTTTTTCTTTGCTCTTCTTGGGTTTCTCTTTTTGAGGTAGCTCGAGTTTCTGGCGAGCATCTGGGGAGGGCGGTGTAAGAAACATATGAGCAACAGGAAGCGAAGCCTAACCATTTTTAAAAGTCTGCAATTTTCTACTCTTATTGTTAGTCAGAATTTCAAAATGTCACCTCCCCAAAGTCTTTTTTAACGCTACTTTTCGAAAATCCCTATCCCCTAAGTAACCCATGAACCAAGTTATTATTCACTACTTTACGGATATTAAGGGCATTCTGGGACATGTGCATAAACCATGCAGTACTTCAGCCAGTAAGTACTACCCCAACCTGGAGCCAAACATCCACGAACCAAAGCCAAGAGAAACAGGCTCGATGGCATTCTTTGAAAGCTGGGGTGCCAGCACTTAGGTGGGAACGCTCTAGCATGGTGAGCAGGGGAATCACTGCGGCTTCTCTGACAGGGCCAGATTATCATATGTGTTAGCGTGGCCTTTAGAGCCATGGGAAAACCCAGGCTGGGTCTTTTCATGGGGGACATGAGCCTATGTCCCCTTCACAGGAGCTGCTGAAGACACCAGGGAGGAGGGCTAGCCTGTGCTGACAGCCAAAGAAACTGACGTATTTTATTCTATTAGTCAAAATCCAACAAGCCTGAAACTACCCTTCTGTCCACCCCTTCTTCCCTCCCCCCTCCCCCCCCCCCCCCCCCCCGCTTTTTTTGAGACAAGGTCTCACTTTGTAGCCCTGGCTGTCTTTGAACACTCCATGTAAGTCAAGCTAGCCTTAAACTCACAGAGATCTACCTGCCTCTGCCTCCAAAGTGTTGGGATTAAAGGTGTATGTAGCCACACCTGATACTTAGTTCTTCATTTCCAAAAGCGATTTTTTTTTATTTTTAAGACAGAGACTTGACTAGCCTCAAACTTGTGATCCTCCTGCCTCAGTGGTCCTGAGGGCTAGGGTTATTATGGTGCCATACCAGGCCTGTGAAATGACAACATTTAAGATGCTTAAGAGTCTTAACATAAATACCCCAAAGCTGAGAAGGAAAGGGCACTTAGAGCTTTGATGCTGTAAAGAAGCAACTGTCCCCTCAGGCAACCAGAGACATGTGGGGGTGTGAAGGCAGGTGGGCATGCGGGAGGGGGGTTGTTCCTTTGCAGGGTGCCATGTTCCGACGCACTCTGGACTCACTGGGGCAGAAGACAGGAGGCAGCCGAGGCCCGAACTCCTCTCGTTCATCCATCTGCAGCTTTTGGATGGGGAAGGGGGTTGCAGGCTCACTCGGCTCCAGCTCAGCAGCTGAGAAAAACACCAGTCAGTGTATTGGCTTCACTCATCTGCCCGGCACTAGCACACCGGAGACCTTTCAGTGCTGAGCACTGCAGTGCCTCCTGGTGGTGGGCACGGTGGAGGCCACCTCTGCCGGTGGACACGGGAGCCGGGGAAGCTATGCAGGACCACCCCGGAGCAAGTGTGTGACAGGCTGTCCGCGGCAGCCAGGGGCCTGCTGGCCACATCACTTAAAAGGGAGCCGAGGGGCTCACGGGAAGAAGGCCCATCTGAGAAGAGACGAGCTTACCCACAGGGCTGGGAGGCAGTGCCCAGCCCAGGACCCTCGCTCAAAACACACTAGAACAGAGGAAAAAGTGACCACGCAGGATCATTTTCATACTGAATCAGCCGCTCCAAAAAGATAAACAGACTACTCCACTCTCTGGCAGAGCAGGCGTAATGATGGGAGGTACCTATAGAGGTGGTAATAATGGTTGTTTCTACCTGCTTTCTACCTTTCTATACCAGTGCTGGCTTACATTTTTTGAGACAACCTTATGTAGCCCAGGTTAACTTCGAACTAACTATGTAGCTGAGACTGGCCTAGAGCTCTTGAGCCTGCTGTCTATACTCCAGCTCTGGCCCATGTCCAGTTCCTGCAGTACTGGGGATTGAAGCCAGTTTCCCGTGCATGGGAGGCAGGTGCTCTACCACTGGGCTAGATTGCCGGGCCTGTACTTTTTAACATTTTGGGTGGAACAGAGGCTCACTGTTGGCTCTCCTGGAACTCACCATGTAGACAAAGCTGTCCTTGATCTCCTAGAAATCTACCTGTCTCTCCTCCTAAATGCTGGGGTTTAGGTATGTACCACAATGCCCAGCCTACTTTTAAACTTTTAAACTTCAAGTATACATGACTTTATAATTTAAAACAATAAGGGTTTTATCCACAAGGGGGAAAAAGGAAGTATTATTGCAATCATCTAAAAATAAATATTGTATCATATCCCTGTCTGACACCCTGGTTGAGGGCCTTCAGAATTTATACCCAGGTATACCACAGACAGATGACAGGGGCAGACAGACAGACAGACAGGGGCAGTATGCAGAGACAGATCGACAGGGGCAGACAGAACTCCAAGAGACGAAGATGGAAACTACCCATGGCTCCAGCATCCCAAAGTTCTTTTTCTTTTTGTCTAGACGGCTCAAGGCAATGCCTGGAACAAACAGGCCAGTGTTCCTGGCAAGTGTGGAGCCCAGGGTGAGAGCAGAGCCTCTTACCAAGGGCTGGTATGCTGGGCCATGCCTGCCAGAGCTGACCAAAGCACACTATCCCCCTAGACAGCGGAACCCTGACATCCTCACAGGCCTCGGCACCGAGCCCTGCCACCCCTCAGCAACCAGGCAGAGAAAGAACGAACGCACCCAGGACCTTCCCCAAGCTAGATACTGAGCTCTGTCTCCAACCCTTAAAACACTTCAAAGAAAATTTGTACTTTTTCCATTCTTAATTAGGCTAAGTCGGGAAACCAACATTATCAAAGACAAGTATCTTTAAAATATACATCAGAGATTTAAACTAGATTTTAAAAGGCCCAACAGCTGCTCATGCAAATCAAAGCAGAAGACAAAAGGCCCGAGAGACGGCTCGGCTCCTCAGAGGCTGGCCACACAGCAGGAGGGCCTGAGTGTGAGCCCAGAACCCATGTGGACATGTGCTTGTCATTACCATGCTGGGCACCTGCAGCTTGTTAACCAGGCTGCTTAGACAACCTGGGGAGCCTCGTCTCAAGCAAGCAAGGTAGGGACTGGGGAGATGGTGCAGTGGTAAGAGCGCTCACTGCTCTTCCGAAGGTCCTGGGTTCAATTCCCGGCAATCACATGGCAGCTCACCAAAGAGCTGGTGTGCACCGCCACATACAGGCAAAGTACCCACGTATATAAACTACATACATTCATGGAGAAAATTAAAAGCAATTAAATTAAATTAGAAAAAATTTAAATATAAATAAATAAGGAAAGAGAAGAAAGGTGGTTGTTTTATGGAGACATAACATTTAAAGACTGATCTCTGGCCCAGGTGTGCACACATACACACCTGCACACACATATACCATATGGGTGTGTGCGTGTGTGTGTGTGTGTGTGTGTACTGAGATACCACTAACTGTCAACTGTCCTAGTTTAAGGTTGCAAAGCCAAATGTGGGAGATACCTGCAGTCCCAGGATCAGGGAGGTGGGAGAAGGGTCGGAGGCCGCAGGCCAGCCTCAGTAAGGTCAAGGCCAGACTGGGCTTCCTGAGAGCCTGTCTCACTACAAACAAGTCCGTCACCTGTCCCTCAGTGCCAAGTCAGCGACTTACTGTGGGTCACAGAGGTCTCCGCCACGGCAGCCTCCTGGGAACGGTTAAAGCTGGCCTCCTCGGGGCGCTCTTGACTGTCCTCACTGTCCTCTTGCTCCTCCTCTGAGGACGAGGACTTTTCATCTGAGGAGCTGGCAAAGATGGCCTTGAATAAATCCATGGGAGGGCGGCTCCCTTCCTCACCCTTCTGTGCATCCACATCTTCGTTTGCAGTCTGCATTAACAGAGAAATAAGAGTCAGGAACGAAGGACCTCAGTGCTTTGAAACACACGCACGCACTCCCAGAAGCACGCAGTTAAGGCTGGCTTTAGGGGCACGGACAGATGGCCCCGTGGTTACCAGCACTTGCCCTCTTCTGGCCTGCAGACACAAACACAAGCAGAATGCTGTCTAAATAACAAATAAACAAATAAATCTTTAAGAAGACATAACAATCAAAAGATCTGGACGCGTCGATGAGCTGGCTGGGAGGCGTGTACCTCACCCACTGGGGGCATGAGGCTGGAGAAGTGTGAGATCCCAGGAGCTGGGCAACACCGCAAAACCCTGCATCCAATAACCCAAAGCAACACAATTCCTGTCTGTACTCAACAGCAGAATGAAAGCGACACTGGGAAGGGCCTATTAACTTGAAAACAGTCCAACAAAAATATCCCACTTTGAACAAAGGAGAGAAAAAACAGGAAGATTAACAAAAATAAACAGAAACTCCTAGGACTGCAGCAAAAAGTCAGTGGTTCCTTCAGAGACTCCCAGGAGCACCGTGGGTTCTGTGTGAAATGCCCCTATAGGTGATCAGTGCTTGGTTCCCACAATGGTTTGAGTGTGAAATGGCCCCTATAGCTGTTCAATGCTTAGTCCCAGTTCCCAGTGCTACTTTGAGAACTGGTAGAAACTGGAAGGTCTGCGAGCTAGCTGGAAGCAGATCCTGGAAGGTTTTGTTTTATTGTAGGCTTCTCCCCCCAGCTCCCCCCCAGCTGCCTCTCCCATACCCCCCTTTCTCTCCTTGTCTCTCCCTCACCCCCTTCTCCTCCCCATCCCTTTTGGCTTCCTGCCTGCCAGGAGGTGAGCAGCCTGTGCCACCAGCACCCACTGCACGGCGGGCGCTCAGGGGCAGAGACACAGAGGCAGGTGGCCACAGGCTGACCCATCTGAAACTGTGAGTCCAGAGAAGGGAGACTTCTCCTGCGTATTGCTATTCTCACATCAGTGCAAAAGTAGCTAATGAAAGGAGCAGAAAAACAATAGGGGTGCGAACGTAGCTCAGGGCAGGGTGCAGGGTGAGCATGTATGAGGCTCTGGGCTCAGTGCCGGCTCTGCAAAATTAGCTGAGGAGCTACAGCCCCAGCCGCCCAAATATTTTCAACCCAATCTGTGCATCTAACAAGAACAAACAAACAAACAACCCTCAGAAATGAAGACAAAATATCGGCCATTCTGAGGTGAGAAAAGGAAAGGGGATAAACTGTCATCTGCATCCTCGGGGAGGTTCCTCAGGAGGAACAGGGAGGGAGGCGGGGGACCTCGGGGACGGAGACGGATCATCAGAAGCAGTAAAGAGCTGATGGTGTACAATGATAACACAATGAGTAATCTCTCTCCACTGTTTAAACACGTGTAACGGTTCAGAGCAGACATGACATCTCGGGATAGCTGTGTGTGTGTGTACATGGAAAACACAGTACAACATAAAAGAAGGCAACTGTGGGGCTGAAAGTTCCCGTGCCTGGTGGTGAAGCAATTCTCAGAAGACTCTGACCGCATGTACTATACTCCACAGACCAAATGCTAAGAAATACTCTAAGAAAGCCAGGCAATAAGCCCCAGCACTTGGGAGGCCCAGGGAGGTGGCTCTCTGAGTTCAAGGCCAGCCTGGTCTACAGAGCAATTTTCAGGACAGCAGGCCTACACAGAGACACCCTGTCTCAAAAAACCAAAGAAAAACATACTTTTCTTCCTTAAGCTCTAAAACAGAGTTTTAAAACAATACCTTAAGAGCAGGAGAGAGCTCAGTGGTGAGAGCGCGTGGCTGTGCAGCAGACCCGAGTTCAGTTCCCAGCACCACAGGGCAGCTCACAACTGCCTATACCCCAGCTCGAGGAGAGCTGACAGCCCTCCTCAGCTCTATGGCTACCAGCATACATGGAGTATGCGCACACACAAACATACATAAATAAAATTAGTAATAACAAATAGGTAAATTCAAGTAGCATTCTAATATTACTCAACTAATTCAGAAGGCAGGAGAGGAAAAAGAACAGGAAAAGAGACCAAACACAGGAGGCTGGAAGGATAGCTCAGCAGTTAAGAGCACTGAAGCTCTTCCTGAGGACCCAGGTTCAATTCCCAGCACCCACATGACAGCTCACAACTGTCTGCAACTCCAAGATCTGACACCCTCCCTCACACAGACACACATACAAGCAAAATACCAATGCACATAAAATAAGAATAAATTTAAAAATGGGGGGAGGGCTTGGGAGATAGCTTAGAGGTTAAGAGCACTGACCGCTCTACCAAAGGACCAGAGTCCAATTGTCAGCACCCACATGGCAGCTCACAACTGTCTGAACACCAATTCCATGGGTATTCCTTCACACTAATACACATATAATAAAATATATGCACATATAACAAAATTAAATTATTAAAAAAAAAAAAGAAGTCAGGCGTGGTGGCACACACATTTGATCCCAGCACTCAGAGGCAGGCAGATTTCTGTGAGTTCAAGGCCAGTCTGATCTACAAAGTGAGTTCCAGGACAGCCAGAACTACACAGAGAAACCCTGTCTTGAAAAACCAAAGAGAGAGAGAGAGAGAGAACACAGGCCAGGTATGGTGGCCCTCACTCGGAATTTGAGAAGTCAGGAGGTGGAGGCAGGAGGATCAGAAATTCAGAGCGTGTCTTGTCTACATAAGGAGTTGGAGGCTAGCCTGTGCTACATAAGACTTGCCTTCAAAACCAAGAGTGAATATGGAAAAAGGAAAAGAAATATTCATATGATAAATGGTCAGCCGAATCCAGAAATGTCAAAAATTATGTTAATGCAAATACTCAAAAATATAAGATTACTAAAAACATTTTAAATAGCGCCCAAGAGCCTGCTATTTAAAAGAAACTCATTTTAAATGTGATGATATTGATATGACATGTTAAAAGTAAAAAGGCTGAGCTGAGCATGGTGGCCACATGCCTGTCATCCCAGCACTGGGAAACTGAGGCAGGAAAATGAAGAGTTCAGGGCCAGCCTGTCTACACAGTCTTATCTCAAAAGGGCAAAGCAGGCTAGGGAGATGGTACAGAGGGCCAAGGTGCTTGCTGCACACCCTGAAGACCTGAGTTCAATCCCCATGCCCCACACGGTGGAAGGAGAGAACCCACTCTCACAGGTTGTCCTCTGACTTACATATGTGCAAACTGCCAAGGCAATGAAACAAGAGAATGAACACTTCTCACTGGAAAGTTGTGTCTTCTCCTGTGAACAGGCAGGGTTTGGTTTCAATGGTTTATGCTAAGTGAGTAGACAGAAGCAGGTCGGCTTTTCTCGTACAGCTGGAGCTATGACTGCTATGGGTCTGTCTAACAGGGCACCAGCCAGGTACAGCCTGAGGGCCAACCTAGCTGCTGTTGGCTTCCGCAGGCAAAGCTGTTCTGGAAAACCGGCATCCTCGGCTATTCGCACACCTGCCGATGGTCTCCACACTGGCTGCAGAATGCAGAAGCAACAGAGGCTATTTGAGCCTCAACTTCTTACCACGCTGCTAACTGCTACTAGGAATACATCACACAAACAAGGTCCTGAGACAGGCACCCACCAGACAGCAGCAGTCTCCCTACCTTGTCTGGGCGTGGCTCTGGGCGTGGCTCTGGGCGTGGCTCCGGCCGTGGCTCTGGGGCCTGCTCCTCCTTGTTTCCCAAGGATTCTTGTCTCGGTGGTCCAACTTTTGATCTAGCCTGACTTAAAAACTCACTAATAGAATCCTCTTTCTTCTCCTGTTTGGATGTGTCCCATCGTGATGGTTTCCTGGATTCTGAAAGGCAGGAACCCGACAGAACAGCCGAATTAGTGAACAGAAGGCAAAGTCTTCACGACCTTTCATTTGCTCAGGGCCTGGGTACACCCTGGAGGGACCAGGGTGTCCAAAGTACTGCATATATGGACGGCGCAGACAGACCCACACTCAGAGGTTAAACAGCTGGCCTGTTCTGCAAGGCGCTGACGCACAGGTCCGAGCAATTCTTAACCTCACAGTCGAAGAGGGCCTGAGACCTAGCTGTCAGTACCTGGGTCCCAGGGAGCTGTACTCACTGTCTGAACCCCGCTGCTGTGGGGCGTTTTCACTGGGTACTGGAGCTGCGGTCAGAGAGCTTGGCTCTGGGAGCGTCAGGAAGTTGAAGACTGAGTATTTATCCCGCTTCACTCTGGGTAAGCCGACTAAAGTTGAGCTGGGGTGGGGAGTAAAGGGAAAAAAGATGGATTGTTAGTAACAGCAGCTAGGGAGAAGCCCACTTCCTAAGAGACTTGCTTTCGATCATCGGCTCTCCAGCTGGCCCACAGCGTCTCGAGACATTTTTACTTCCTGAAGTAGTTCAGGAAGGCCTGAGAACCCTTGAAGCCTTTTTTCTATTTTTTTTTTCTCTTGGAGTAAGGGACCACCTGGCCTGGTGGTGTACACCTTTAATCCCAGCACAAAAAAGGTAGAGGATCACTGGAGTTCAAGGTTAGCCTGGCCTACACAGAGTTCCAGGCCAGGTGGGGATGGGACTTTGTCTTTAAAAAAAAAAAAAAAAAGAATAAGGACTAGAATGTTTAACTTCAAAAATGACTTTAGGATAAAGGAAAGTTCCACAGCCAAAAAAATAACTACATTTTCTAGACAAGGTAATTCTTTTTGTTTGTTTGGTTGGTTGATTTGGTTTTCAAGACAGGGTTTCTCTATGTAACAGCCCTGCCTGTCCTGGACTTGCTTTCTAGACCTGGCTGGCTTTGAGCTCATGAAGATCTGTCTGCCTCTGCCTCCTCAGTGCTGGGACTAAAGGTATGCACCACCACGTCAGACTTGGACAAGGAAATTCTACAGTATATGCTTTCTGGGAATGCTTTTGGTCAAACAAGAAGATGCTAAACTTGTGTTTTGCAACTGATTTATTCATTTTATGGTTACAAGTCAGAAGAAGGCATCAGATCCCCTGGAATTGGAGTTACATACAGGCAGCTGTGAGCCGCCGCGTGGGTGCTGGGAACCAAACCCAGTGTCTGCAAGAGGATCCAGTGCTCTTACCACTGAGCCATCTCTGACATTCTATAGAGAGATTTAAACACAAGGCATGAGGCAGGGGCAGAGAGCTTGACTAGTATGTGTGAGGCCCTGCATTTGATTCCGGCATGCTCCCAAACACACAGGAAGAGAAAAGAAACACATTTTTTGGTTGCTGTTTGACGCAGGCTCCAGTATGTAGCCCTGGCTGTCCTGGAATTCTGTTTACCTGTATTTGTATTTTAGAAACGGATTAGGAGGCCACAAATGGTCAAAATATACGTGGCAGGTGCACAGACACTTGAAATCAAAATTAAGAGGGTAGGGGTGGCTAGAGAGCTGGGTCAGCAGTTAAGAGCGCTTACTGCTCTTCCAGAGGACCCGGGCTGCGTCCCCAGCACGTCATGTGGCTCGCAACTGCCTGTAAATTCGGCTCCAGGGATCTGGCCCTGTTTGGTGCACTTGAGTCCTCCCATAAGCTTACAGAGTGACATACACATGAGCAAAAACACAATCAACCAAGTAAACGTGCAAAATCTGCATCTCCCAATAGATACAAGTTAAGTTCCTCTAGAAAAGGGAAACGCAAAGAGTCTAACTTGAGCCTTAAGGGGGCTAGAGAGATGGCCCAGTGGTTAAGGGGAGCCCGATCCAGTTCCAACACCCACACGGTAGCTCACAACCATCTGGAACTCCAGTTCCAGGGGAACCAGTGCCCTCTTTCTGACCCCTAAGGGACACCAGGCATGCACATGGTACACAGACACACACGCAGGCAAAACACATAAAAGAAATCTGAAGCCTCTTTTCTTAAGCGAGCTTTAGTGGAGTGGACGCAGTTTCCACTGATGAAAGGCAGGCTGGTGCAGCTTACCCTGGATAAGGGTCAGGGACATTAAACCGCTTACACAGCAGCTTGTCTGGGTGCCACTCAAACACGTCTCTCGTGAGCTTCCCAAACATCTTCATCTTCACAGCTGACTGCTTGTCGCCGACGTCATTCTAGGAAGACATAGACGTTCTGTCTGGTGTAGTCAGAGAACTGTCCTCATTAGGCGTCCATTTAAAAATGCCAGGCTTCAGGCTGCATATGGCTCAGCAGTAAAGACCAAAAAGGACCTGAATTCTATGCCCAACAGCCACACCCAGGAGCTCACAAATGTCTGCCACTCCAGCTCCAGGGTTGGATCCCCTCGACTCCATGGGCACCTGTATTCACGTGCAAATACTCACGCATGTCAATACACACGAATGTGAAGGTTTTTCTTGTTAGATCCGCCTGCCACTGCCTCCCGAGTGCTGGGATTAAAGGCATGCACCGCCAGGCTGAAGGATTTTAAAAGCCAATAAAATTAAACCTTAAAAATATACAATCACAGGCTGGAGAGGCACTCAGTGTTAAGAGCACCGGCTGCTCTTCCACAGGATCTGAGTTCAGTTCCCAGCACCCACGTCAGGCGGCTCCCGATGCCTATAATTCGGCAGGAGGCTGGTGATGGTGAGCCCCTTCCTCTTCCAGCACCCCCCCCACACACACACACACAGACATGGCATACACTCATAAGACACATAGATAAGTCTAGATAAATTATAAAAATAAGTTAAAATTATTTTTCTTAATGTCTGCTGGAGACAAAGACAGGTGGATCTCTCCCAGTATAACACGTCCTTGCCTGCACAGTGAGTTCCAAGCCAGCCTGGTCTATAGAGCAAGACCACGTAATAAAAAAAAAAGGTTGGAGCTGGAGAGATGGCTCAGTAGTTAAGAGCACACTGGCTGCTCTTCCAGAGGACCTAGGTTTGATGCCCCGCACCGGGATGACCCAGCCATCTGTCGCTCTAGTTCCAGGGACTCTTAACACCTTCTTTTGCCCTCTGAGGGTGTACTAGGCACACATTTGGCATGTAGAACTGCATGACGGCAAAGCACTCGTGTATATAAAATAAAAATAAACACATATTTTCTAAAATGCCAGACTTCATTCCCATGCATGACCATCCATCAGTCAATCAATCAATAAACAAATACACAGATAAACACACACTGGTCTTGAGCTATCTAAGAGTTTGGGTTGCTACGCTGTTTAAATATCTTGCGGGCTAACCATCAAACTGTTCCTTATTCTACTGCGCTGTGTGTGTTTTGATCTTTTCGTTGATTTCAAATCTTCAGCTGTGTGGTGGGCTTTAATTTTACAATCACTAGGAGGACTCGTCAGCAGTGCCTGCCACCTAAACACGAGGGCCTCAGCTCAGACCCCCAGAACACATGGAAAGGCTGGGAAAGGCAAAAGCATGTGTCTAGAATCCCAGCCCTGGGGAGAGGAGGCAGGTGGGTCCCTGTGGCTCGCTGGCTCATCACCTAGCTGAAGCAATGAGCCCCTGACTCAGGGGGAGACCCTGCCTCAGATAAGGAAGGCGAAGGCAGATGTATTGCTCACCCCTGTAAGCCCAGCCCTTGGAAGGCTGAGGCAGGAGAAACAGGAGCTCCAGGCCAGCTTGCCTATATGAGACCCTGTGTCAGAAAACTAAATGCAGTAGGTTACAGAGTAGCTGAAAAAGATATTCAGTGTTGACCCCTGACTTCTATACGGTACGCTTGCACACATCCACGTAAATGCACACATACCCATAAACAAACAAATACATGAAACTGACTGGAGAGCCTGTGGTCTGATGGTTAGACCATGCACAAAGCATGTGTGAAAGCCTGGGTTCAATTCAGCCCCGGCAACTGCAGAAACACGGGAAGTTCTCCACATGGGCACACGGTGGCCACACACCTCCTGGTCCCGGGGAACCTCAACCTGGTCTGAGTCGTCCTCCTCCTTGGCGTGAGTGAACCTGGAGGACAGGGTGGAGTTGGAGGACACATAGAGCTGGGCCGCCCGGGCAAACTCTTCCCGCTCCCGGCTTCGCTCCCACTCCGTCATGCTGGGGTCCAGGCACCGCTCCAGAGCATCTGTGGTACAGGGAACATGGCACTGTTACCGCAAGGAGAATGAGGTGCTTGAGGGACCCCACCACCACGCCGTGCGCTCCCTGCGGACCCCCGGATATATGGAGATGGTTGGCGCTGGGCGCCACCTGCAGGCAGTGTTACTCCTCCTGCCTGGGATAGTCCCCTTTCGTTCCGGTTTATGTGTGTGAATGTTCTGCCTGCAAGCGTGTTTGTCCGGTGGATCTCCCGGAAGTGGGGGTGTGAGCTGCCACGTGGGTCCGGGGAACCCGGGTGTTTCAACTTGCAGGAGCACAGAGAGGCGGCCCCATCCCCTCCCCCCCACCCCATCAGGCTGGCACCCACCTTTCTGACCCTTCTTCATGTGCACTAGGAACTCTTCGTATCGCCTCTGCTTTTCTGGATCTTTGGCAAAAGGCTTGAAGTTGCTGGCTGTCGTGGCGGCCGTCCCGCTGCCCAGGGCCAGGTGCCATGAACTGTACCCGGGGCCCGGAGTAGAGGCCTGCGCCCTGCTGCTTGCAGCACTCTGGGCCAGACTCCGGGCTTTGGCCTGAGCTGCTTTCAGGTCGGTTGCCTGCTTCATTTCTTTAATTCTTTCCTTGTCTTTTTCAGACAGAAACTCCAACACTGAAGTAGCTGACCCTAGGTAAAAACAGTAACAAGAGATGAAAAATAGCTTTACCTTCTTTGTGCGCACACTCACTATTACGGACCGATATAGTCAGGGATGAGTGGTGTGTTATTGTTTCTTCAATATGTGTCCCATGAACTATGAGGTAATTGACAAAGGATGGGTACAACTCCGAGGTACAGCAAAAGCTGAGAATATGTAAAGCCCTGTGCTCCATGCCCAGGATGACGCCTCTGAACCACAGGTGGCTGTGCTCACTCTCCCACCGTCCTCCCACTGAGCACTTATATCACATAAGCTCACTGGGCGTCAGCTCCACAGTGGGCAGTGGCCAGGGTCTGGGGACCATGCAGGTAAGGGCTTCCTGTCCCTACTGAATAGGAAAGGCGGGAGGCCAAAGAGCAGTATCAGAGGACCACTGAAGAACAGCCACGGCTCATGCCTGCCATTCCGGTATCTGGGAGGCTGAGGCAGGATTAACATGAGTTCATGGCCAGCCTGAGCTACCGACTAAGGTCTTGTCTCAAAAACAAACAGATAAAATTAAAGGCTAGTCAGATGGCTCAGTGAGCAACGGCAGCTGCCACCAAGCCTGATGCTCTGAGTTCAATCCGTAGGTCCCACATGGTGGAAGGAAAAAACTGCCTCTTGCTATTTACAAACAAACAAATAGGCAGGGTTAGAATGAGCTAGCCTGGGCTATAGACTAAGATCTTGTCTCAAAAAACAAACTAACAAACTTGTCCCCTGACTTCTCTTCAGGCACTGTGGTTCAGACATGTACACACATGCACAAAGCGTCAGGGGGCATTGTTAGGAAGACGAAGGTGCCATGGAGTGGCGCCACATGCCTGTAAGGCCGGCGCTCAGGAGGCTAACAGAACAAAGTAACAAATCTGGGCTGCTGCGGTCTACATGGTGAGAATCCATCTCAAAAACAAGAGGGAGACCAGTCACGGGGACACAGGCCTTTCGGTCCTAGCACTTGAAAGGCAGAGGCAGGAGGATCTCTATGAGTTGAAAGCCAGCCTGGCGTACACAGTGAGCTCCAGGACAGCCAGGACTATGTAAAGAGAACACTTCTCGCAGATGGATAGAGAGGGAGGGAGGTAGAGAGAGACAGACAGACAGACAGTGGATAGAGAGTAGATAGATAATAATAATAATAATAATAATAAGCCAGACGCAATGGCACACCCCTGTAATCCCAGCACTCAGGGAGGCAGAGGCAGGTGGATCTCTGTGAGTTCAAGGGCAGCCTGGTCTACAAAGCAAGTCCAGGGCAGCCAAGGCTACACAGAGAAAGCCTGTCTCGAAAAACCAAAATAACAAAATAACAACAGCAGTGATAGTAAGTGGGATGGAGAGACGGCTTAGCAGATGCTTCAAACTACCTATAGCTGTAGCTCCAGGGGATCCAACACCCTTTCCTGGCGTCCACACACATCAGTATGAATGTGCATATATATACATGAACATATAAAAAAAACAAAAAAACAATTTTTTTTTTTTGAGACTGAGTTTCTCTTGTAGCCCTGGGTGTCCTGGAACTCGATTTGTAGACCAGGCTTCCCCACAGACATTCACCTGTCTGCCTCCCAAGTGCTGGGATTCAAAGCCTGTGCCACCAACACCCGGCTAGTGAATTTTCATAAAACAAATAACCTGAGTGGCACACTCCTGCCATCGCGGCACTTATGTGGCAGAGGCAGCGGGGGCCAGGAGTTCAAAACCAGCCTTGGCTACAGTGCGAATTTAAGACCGCATCTTGAGCTACATGAGACCTTCAAAGAGGGGAGAGGGCAGCAGAAAGAGCAGTCCACTGAGCAATAATAACAAAGAAAGTCTGGGAATGCTCTCACATGCTGCTTACAGTGCACGATGCGGCTCCTACGGCTTGAGAGCACAGCATACATCCGAAGACCGCCAGTGGGGTGCACGGCACCCACTGAGTAAGGCTACGGTAAACACACACCTAGAGCGGGCCCCTCTCCGAGCAACTCCCCCCGCTTGGAGGCGTTGAGCTGATGCCTGCTGTGCGTCCCCACGTCTTGGCCGGCTTTCCCAGATGACTCCGACAGCACCTGAAGTAGGCGAGCATTCTCGGACGTTGCGGCCACCACAGGCCTGAAGTAGTGCACGGGCCGGTAGTCTCTGGGCAGCTGAGGGGGCGGATAAACCTCAATGGAAGCAGACGAGATCAAAGTCAGGACGTCCGGGCTGCAAGGTCACACACACGCTCCATACAGAAAACCAGGATTTTAGTGTCCTGGGACACCTGGGAATCACTGCGGGAGCCTGGCCCCCGGGGGGCACCAGGGCCACCGTCCCAGTGCCCTCACACTGCTGACGTCACCGCTGCTGACGTCACCACTGCTGACGTCACCGCTGCTGACGTGTACGTTCCCATGACGAGAGCACTAAATGTGGGACGACAGAGCACGGCCCCCTGCCCCACCTGCGGACCCAGCGCGCTGTAGGCAAAACATTCACAAAGGTTTGAGTCAACTTTGACAGTTAAAAAACAGACAGACAAAAACTGAAACGAGGTAGTTTGAAAACTTCCTCAAAACTCTATGTGCAGGCTATGGGTCACGGGCAAAGTGAAACTTCGGGCCTCCATTTCTTTAAATTTTATTTTTACTTTGTTTGTGAACGTGGCTGTCTGTGCATGTGTGTGCAGGTGCCTGCTGAGGCCAGATGAGGCTGTGGACCCCCTGGAGCTGGAGTTACACGTATCTGTGGGTGCCACTCCTCAAGATTAAGCAGCGAATACCCTGGACCGCTAAGCCCCGCCTCCCACCCCAACTCTGCTTCTTAATTCAAAGTCTTTTTTTAACTCCGACACTGAGTGGAGCAGAGAATGTGGCTCAGTTACGGGATTTGTACAGTAGTCACAAGACCCTGGGATCCATCTTCAGTAACCTCCCACCACCAGCAACAAAACAGAAGAACAAAGACAGGCCAGGCTGCAGCTCAGTGGCAAAGCGTTTGCCTAACAAACATGAGGTCTTAGGTTCAAACCTCAGTATAAGAGGGACAGGGAGGGACTGGAGAGATGACTCAGAGGTTAAGAACACTGGCTGTTCTTCCAAAGGTCCTGAGTTTAATTCCCAGCAACCACATGGTGGCTCACAACCATCTATAATGAGATCTGGTGCCCTCTTCTGGTGTACAGGCACACATGCAGGCAGAACACTGTATAAACAAATAAATCTCAAATAAATAAATAAATAAATAAATAAACTAATAAATAAATAAACTAATAAATAAATAAATAAATGAATAAGTGAATAAATAAATAAACAAATAAACAAATAAATAAATAAATAAATAAATAAATAAATAAATAAATAAATAAA